TTAATTACAAAATACCTTTGTCACGTTCTTCTATAGAGAATTCTATACAGAGTGGCTTCAATCATAATGATTTTAGATTTACAAATGGCTGATATAAAATACATCTGTGTTCTGCAGGTGTCCCCTTCCTGTCTGAACTTCTAACCAGTTCTGAGCTGATTATCATTATCAGATTTTTATAAGCCCTTGTTACCCACTTATTATTAGTACTTTAACTATAGCACTATTATTAACATTGCTATTGGAGCACATACCTGATAAAGAAAGAATATCATTTCTAGTTTGAAGGTAAGACAGAAACGGGACACTTTATTAGGTGGTGTTGAAAAATGCTTGATCAAGAGGAATCCGAGTTTGCAAAGATTAATATAATGTGCTAAATCATATTCTCTGGTCAAACACAAGGCACTGAAACTCTACATTCTAATAATTGTAAGACAAACATTTGTGTAAGGTTGCCTTCCTGCTATGGAACACCTGAGAAAAATCCAATTAAAAGATAGAAAGTTTTACTTTGGCTCAGCGTTTCACATTTCACTTCATAGTCAGTTGACTCAGTTGTTTGGGGGCCTCACACAGTAGCTGTGACCCAGAGGACGTCCTTACATAATGACAATTGGAGAGCAGAGGAAGAAGAAGGTCATATTCCCTCAGCCCTGTGTTCCAGTGACCCAGCTCTCTTCACATAGGCTGTGTGTACTCAGGACACTGTGTATACCCCCCAACTGCATCACAGAATCCCAGGGCATAATGCTTCAACATCTGGCCTTTGGCAGACTCTGTAGACAGAAATAGAATGGTATTCAGGAGCATAATGTGCTATTGGTGTGTTTACTGCACTTTTAAAGAATAAAATGATGTTGCAAGATTTATACATAGTTTAAAGATAACTAATAAGGAAATAACCATTTTTGTGTGCTATTAAGAATACTACACAATAAAAAGCTTTGATTAAGTGCCAAGGAATAGACATCAAAAAACCCTCTCTCGACAAACCAAATAAAATGGAATTTTAAAAAATGCATATTTACTAACCAAGCACCTGGGCAGCAGAAACAGGTGAAATCTCTGTATGTTTGAAGTTAGTGTGGTCTACAGAGAAAGGTCCAGAACAACCAGGAGTAGATGGAGAAACCCTGTCTCCAAAAGTAAAAAGAAAGGAAGGAAGGAAGGAAGGAAGGAAGGAAGGAAAATACATAAAACAAACAAAATGAAGAATGAGGAGGAGGAAGAGGAATAGGAGGAGAAGAAAGACATCATGCACGCATGCAGGGAGGCAGGGAGCAGGATGGATCGGTGAATCTATTCCTCTGAATTCCTCAGATTCTATCACTCAGCTACAAATTGACCACAGTTGGGTCACAGGCATCTTACTCTCTTTACAGACTTCTTCTCTGGAAGACAAATGAGAATGGACACAAGCAATTTCATTTATAAAAGTGTCGAGTACAGTTCACACATCACTTAGAATGCATGAAAACTTACTGAAGTTTACTAGCTTTGTGGGTGAAAAATAAAGCATTTATGACAGGCTCTACTCAAATTTGGGATTAGTCCATTCCTAACATGACAGAGAGGGGGTATTCTGATAGGTAATATGTAGTTTTGCCACATTCCTGCCTATTCCATAACAAGATGGAAAAAATTAAAAACTTGCAGATATTTTAATGTTAAAAATAACTTGCTAACTTTTTTTTTTTTTGGTTTTTTCGAGACAGGGTTTCTCTGTAGCTTTGGAGCCTGTCCTGGAACTAGCTCTTGTAAACCAGGCTGGTCTCGAACTCACAGAGATCCACCTGCCTCTGCCTCCCGAGTGCTGGGATTAAAGGCGTGCGCCACCACCGCCTGGCTCAACTTGCTAACTTTTGCTATGATTTCCTAACAGCTTTTCACTTGGTCCATATATCATCAAAAAATCAAAGCAGTTGTTCAGTAGACAAGCATGTAAATCAGAATTATCTTGGTGACCATATGTTTTTGGTTGGTTTGGAAGATCTTAATTAATTCATTTTGGAAGGGTTCCTTTTTGTCTTTTGTAGTCATTTTTAATCATTTTAAACAATTTACTGTTCAACAATGCCATATACATTAATAACACACTTTGATGACATTTATCTCCTTCGTCCTCCTTTATCCCACATCCAACATTCTCCTAAACCTAACTCATTAGCCCCATTCCCACTTTCATCTGTTTCTGTATTGGTTTTGTTTTTACTTTGTGGCCTCTGAGTTTAACCAATGTGATAGAATAGGCATGGATGTGAAGCTATCTAGGGAAGTATAAATAGCTCATCAGTGGTTGGTTACATTACTAAAGAGAATGACTCCTCTCCTCAGTATCCCCCAACTGCCACTAGCTCTCCCTAAGCAGGGCCTGAGGTGATGGTGCTAATGGAAATCTTCCCCCATCTATGACTATATGTTTACAGGCTCAGCTGTGGGGCACGGTCATGTTACACCTACAGAAGTGCATTTTAGACCTTTGCTTCCTATCATACATATGTCACTTACATTGTTTCTGCCTGTTCTTCCTCAGTGTTCTCTAAGTATTAGAGGGCCTGATATGTGTTTCTTTTAAAGTCAATGTCATGACAGTCGCTTGTTCTCATTACCTTCTCGCCACCCATGAGGCTCTACACTAACCTGTGTTCACAGCAAATAGCTTCTTTGACCAAGACTGATGATAGCCCAGTCTCTGGTTATAAGGCTAAATATTTAGATGAAACTTTGACAACATATCCATTTTTCAAATAGGAATTTCGTTTTACAATTTTCAAAGCAAAATTTCTCATTTTATTGCACTAGAGAGACATCTCAGTGGTTACAAGTCCTTGCTGCTTTTGCAGAAGGCATGGGTTTGATTCCAGCCCACATATGGTAGCTCTCAATCATCTGTAACTCCAGTTGTATGGGTTTTACACCCTCTCTGACCTCTCTGGGCACCAGGCATGCACATGCTACACATTCAGGCAACACACTCACATACACAATTATTTTCATAGCTAAAACTCTTGAAGAAATAGATAAAATGTAGTGAAAATGGTTCCAGCAGTGCTCAGACTCTTGAAAAACGTGATGATTCTCATCCATTCCTCAACATATTTCATTATTCATAAAGTATAACTTCTCAGATCAATTCCTTCTCTTCATTAAGTACATTTTATCAAGTTCTCCACAACATATTTTGATGTTACAAGGTAATAAAATAAGACCAATTTTCAAAGAAATTTTCTATATCCTTTTTTTCCCAAAGTTTAGTGTTTAATGAATCAGAAGAGTGGATGCTTGTTACATCTCCAGCTTCTTATTTGTTAATTTCTTGTTTACACATTAGTTAAGGTTTTGTTTTGAGCCTTGTAAGCTTTCTTTAGCTACTTGGAATAAATAAAAGAAAATGTTCGCTTTCAATATCCAAGCATCGTCTAAACACTGGTTGGGTAGAGGAGCCTTAAAGTCAAGTATATATTATGACTTCCAGGCTGTATGGGATATCTGAGTATGCAAACAAGTGGGTCTCTTATTCTTGTGTCTTCTCTTGGGCTCCTTTGATTGTTTTATCTTGTCCAACTTCAATATAATAATTTCTGTTTTATCTTATTATATTTTTCAAAATGAATTAATGAAAACCTGGCCACAATGATAAGGTTAAAAGCTGAATTGTTTACTTATACCTGATAGGAGTGGGAAAATCAGTTTCTTGCAAGGAAATGACACTGGATGATTCACTCACACCACGACAGTACTCATGTTAAGAAGTAGTTAACCAACGTATTATGGATTGCACAGGTTTTGTGTACTATTATTGTGTACCGCTTGGTGGGGTTATTCTTCCTTGTGTGTGTGGAGGGGAATCTTTTTTATTTTGTTTTATTTAGGTGACTTTAGTGGGTTTTGTTTCTGTACTGGGCATTTTTTTTTTTTATAAAGAAAAGGTTGTGTGGTTAGGCATGGGCAGAAGATCTACAATGACACACTCACAAACAAGTATTTTTTTTTTAAAAAGGAATAGATTAGGCTTGTGGTTTGTTAGTTAAGAATAGCTGATGTCAAAACTAATTCCAAATTAGAAATTTTAAAATAAACACAGGCGATTCTTAGGGAAAACAAGAGTCAAGATACATGTAGCTTTATTTATGATCTAGTTAGGTCCAAAAATGTATGTTTTAACTAAAAGCATTGTAAGTTAAAATGTATTTAGTATATTGAACCTGTCAAATAGTCCAGTACTACAGGTTAGCGACAGCTTAAGGCTGTCCATTGCTTGTTTTCTTCTGTGATTGATGTTGGACAGGGAGCTGTTGCTTGCTGCCACTGCCCAGCACAGGAAAAAGTATCATGACCTTGAGTGTTCACCTGGGAAAACATCCAGATTCCAAATAGATGCTCCTTTCTACTGAACCCCAACACATACACGTGAAAAGCTCAAAACTTGAGAAATTCTAACTGAAACCATCACAAGTTGGAGATCATTTATGAGACATTTCCTAAATTAATATAGTAAAGAAAAACCGACTTTAGCTGTCTTGACAAAGCCCGAATCAGTGCTTTGACCTGAAACTTATCCAGAAATGCTTTTTGGCTGAGACTGGATCAGGGAGAGCAGAACATCCCCAAGGGGAAGAGAAAGGCAAATGATGTGGATGGCAGGCTTTCCGTGACCACTTTGTCTGGGACACGGAGTGCATGCTGAAGAACAGAGAGAAAGCAATTGCTGGAGTTAAGGAAAGAACTTGGATTTCGAGTTGACGAGCTTATATTTCAAATTAGAAATGCCATTTGGAAAGAAAACACTTGAAATATCTGGAAACTGGAAGGGCTCCTTGGATTCACGTATCCAGCCGCAGGCCAGAATATCAACTTGGGTAACCCACATACACAGACAAAGCACATAGCAGCCTCAGGCCTGCCCTTGAAAATCAAGCAGCAATTACCCTTCAGTGACAGCAGCTGTGTATATCATGAAAGGTGACAAATTTGATAAAGAACTTATTTTTGCTCACCTTCCTTTCTGAGGTGTGCATGTGTATACATAATTGTGAGTCTCTTCTTTCACAGAAACGAGTTAAATAGATCTGAAGCAGGTGTTTTGTGAATCACTGTAACTGGTATGTCCTGGTAGCATCTATTACAAAGAGAGTAAAGCTGAGTTGAAAAAATTAATCTCTTAAAAATCTTTATGGCTCATATACATTCATCTCTAAGCAATTTATATATTTTCTGCATAATGTGATGTTTATGATTTGTAGCTTAATAACACATTGATATAGATATTCCCACCACTGAGTGTTTCATCACATTCCCCAAACTTACATACATGCCTTGTGTGATTTAAAGTCAGACTTCAGCAAGGTCTTCAATCTCTTAACTCAACCTTCTTTTCACCAAAGCACACGTGATGCTTGTCTACCTTAGTCTATAATAAAATTGGACCAGAGAACCTAACATGTGTTCAAAAGTCACATTCTAATAAGGCCAAGCTGTGTGAAGATAGAAAATAATACAGATAACTGATTCCCCTACCCCCATTTCTTTTCCCGGTTAATACAAGGATTTTCAGCAATAGTAAGAATAATTTGCTTTGTAACAAGAATGATTTTATTTTTCATTACATTAAGAAAACACATGGCATAGTTGTCCTAAACTCATATAATTATAAAATATAATTTTCATATTAAAATAAGTTCCCTAGAAAACTATTTCCTAAATTTCAGTATAGAAGTTGAGATAAATGCTGTTTTATTAAAATATGCTTATATTAAATGAACCACGTGTAACAATTTGAAAACCCAAGTTTTTTGATTCCCGACTACAGATGTTATCACAGTTCCTGAAGGTCAACCTGAAACAGGAATGTACTCGAGGGTTTGTTTGTTAAGGGAGAAGTTTAATTTTACAATGTAATACGGTATAACATTTTTATTGAGGAGAAGTATGTAAGTTTGATTTATTGGCGTGTGAAGGATAAGAAGACAGCTTCTCTTCATTGTTTTATACTCAAGTATTTGCTGGGCTTTTTTTCACATTCCAAAAGATGCTTGTATGCACTGCCGCAAAGGAGCTTCACATTCCTTCTTGCCCAAGACAGCAATAATCTCTATATCACAAAGATTTTCCTCAAAATTGCTTGCATATTTTACCATTTAGACACTGCTCTCCCATCCCCTTTTTAATCTGGATGTGATTTATTTAGAATAGGTCTGTACTGTGACTGTAACTGGAGTGGGCATTGCAGACACAGCTTATATGTTGATGAGTAGTTACCAAACATAGGCACGCTCTATGCTTATATACAACGTTAGGTTTCCTTTTCTTCAAACAAATAACAAATGAAAGGAAGATTAAAAAAAGACTAGAAAGACCATTGTAAACAGTTGTAGTAAAATACAATTGTCTAGTATGAACTTCTATTCACTGAAATCATGCTAATAAGAAAGAGAGACTCTTAACAAAACTTCTCATATAGTTAGGTGCATACTTTCTGAAAATACAGGGCAAGTGCCAGCAAGATGTCTTGGTGGGTCATAAAACTAAGGAAAACAGAGTTTTGCCAATGTACAATACAGGTTAAATACTGTCATGTGCTTGCTTGGATACAGTGAATGGATAGAGATTTTATAATAAAACTCTCATTACTAAATTTCAAGAAATCTTACTCAGGAAGCAAGTAAAACTGGAACTTAATTCTTATTCAAAACATACTGATCTAATGGCCAAATCGTTTCCATTTTTCATGACCTTTCCCTGCATACAGAAGGCTCTTGAGACATTCTCAATTGATTCTAGGAAAAACAAAACTGTTCTAAAAACAAAAGAGGATATTCAGAATGTCCCTGAGCAAAACACACACACACACACACACACACACACACACACACACACACACACCTCTCTCTCTCTCTCTCTCTCTCTCTCTCTCACACACACACACACACACACACACAGAGAGAGAGAGAGAGAGAGAGAGAGAGAGAGAGAGAGAAAGAGAGAGAGAGAGATCACTCCAGTTTCAGAGGGTTCTGAACCTTGATCCTTCATAGATCATTCTTTTTAGTAAGGTATTCAGGTCTCTGTGCTGTGTGGGATTTCAGCTTCATCTCCACCATTGATCACAGAAGTGATGCGATGAAGGAAACAGAAGGAACTTGGTTCCTTTGTGAATACAAGTCTAGCTCTTCACTGGGTTTTGGAATTCAGCCATCATAGATGTCTAGCATGCATCTGGTCTGAAGGAAATGATGAGGGCTGATGTGGTGGCTCAGAGGATAACACACTTGCCACCTAATTTGGTGCCCTGCATTATAGACCCAAATGGTAGAAGAGAACTCCTACAGGCTGTCCTCTGACTTCCATACATGGAAGTGTGGATCAGAAGATTCACACACGCACACACACATACATGCACACACACACAATGTTAATTTTTAAGAACAAAGAATATATCTGTAATGGAGGTTATAATTTTTTCAGAAGTAACGAAGATAGATTTTGTGAAAGGCAGAAAATGCCATAAATATCATTTTGAAACATTCTGAAAACTAGTTTGGGAAATTCAATGTTTTCAACACTCCTAAAATAGTATGCAACAGTTATAATTAAAGTTGGGTTATAATTTAGTATCACCCTCTTCAGCCATTACACTCACCTCCAGGCTGGCTTCCTGCCACAACAGCTTCTAAATATTATGAGTGCTATACCTCTCCAAAAACATTGCCTCCAAAGATATATAGTGACCTCAAACATTTTTAAATGATATTTCCTTTTGACTTTGCCTTTACCTTTTTCTGATGTTCTAACATTTACACACAATAAAGCTGGTAAGCGTGTTCTGATGGAGGAAGGTCATTGGCTAATAAAGGAACTGCCCTGGCCCATTTTATTGGTTAGAGGATAGGTGGGAGGAGTAAACAGAACAGAACGCTGGGAGGAAGAGGAAGTGAGCTCAGAGACTCCACAGCTCTCTGGGGAGCAGACACCTCAGAGAGAGACGCCATGCCCCGCTCCCGGGATGAAGCTCCGACCCAGGATGCACTAGGCTAGAATCTCCCTGGTAAGCGCACCTTGGGGTGCTACACACAGATGATTATAAATGGGCTAAATTAATATGTGAGAATTAGCCTAGAAGAGAATGGGCCAGGCAGTGTTTAAATGAATACAGTTTGTGTGTTGTTATTTCGGGGCATAAGCTAGCTGAGCAGGCAGCCAGGGTGCTGGGGACGCAGCCCCGCCGCTCTTATTACTTCAGTGTTCTTTTTGCTCGAATTTAATTTTGGCAGTCCATTTAGGCCCTACAAAGAACTTGAGAGAAATTGGGTGTCTCCCTATTGATGCAATAGGGCTCGCATCTCATTATGCATTGGAAGCAGTTTGATGGTGCAGGATGATTGCAGGGGATTAACGCCAAACGATACAAACACATATGTGAATGTGACAGGACGTCATGGGGGTTTCCAGCTTTTCTTTTACATTCCACAGCCACTCACTACCTTTAGAAAAACAGTCACTCTTAAAGTATGTGTGAGAAATAGCAGTACTTTAGCTAACGTTGTATGTATGTGCCAAACAAGGGAGGAGGCCTCCGACTTTATTCTTATCAACATCACATTTAATGTGAGCTGATAATCCACTTTTCTAAATCCAAAGGTTGGATTTAGAGAAATTAAGTATAGTCTAAGACAGGGTAAAGCCTGTAAGTCTCAAAACAGGCTTTATACCCAGAGGTTAGATGACCAAGACCTTGGTTCTTAGCCAGCAACATGAGACACCCATAGATGACTCAAGAAATTTACTTTACTCAAGAACTTTACTTTAGTTATAATAACACATAGCAAAAAAATAGTTTAATTGTTGAAAATAGTTTAAATTAACTTATTAGTTGAAAGACTAACTGGCAAACTGAGTTGAATATTTAAAATCCCAGACCTCATTACTCCTTTGAACTTATAACTAATTTAAAAGTTTATATAGTAAAAAGTGATTATAAACTTATAAACTCTCAGGTAGAAATATATATATATATACATATGTATATATATATATATATATATATATATATATATATACACGCACACACACAATATATCCATATATACATACACAATGGAGAAATGCTTCTTAGAACTGTATGTTCATCCATTAGAGCCCAAGATCCTAACTCAGGATCTTGTTGGAAGCCCGAACGTCTATGGTGAATTTTTGCATCCATTTGTTAAACAGTAACTAAAGAAGACCACAGTGAAATGATGCCAGGGAACTAGGAATAGATAGGATGCTATGTAAAATGTAGACAGCTCAAATAGTCCTGAAGCACATAGTTTCAACAGCCACGGGCAAGAAAAGGGGTGTTTAGGAAGCAGCAGTAGGCTTCTGCAGAGGTAGGAAGCTGAAATAGGATAAAAGAGATAAAGTATGGCACACCATTAGTTACATTGTCACAAGACACCAACACATTCTGTGCATATTGTTTGCACAGTGGTCTATTCAGTTACAATAACATAGAGATATGTACGTACAAGAAATGATTCCTTGGGTGTGTTAAGAGAGTGGAAGGAAAGGGGGTAAATTTAGCTTAATTTATGAATTCTGATAGTTTGTTGAGACAGAGTCTAACTATGGAGCCCAGGATGTCCTGGATCTCACTGTCCTGCCCCAGCCCCAACAAGGCTGAGCTTGCAAGTATGTTATTCACCATCAGCTCAGGGTTTCCCACAATATAGTGTTACAGACATATTGAAATACAAAATATGATTTTTCAATATACAGGTATATATAAATATAATTTAAAACTTTATGAACTACATGATAGTATTTAATGATTTACTAATAATGTGATTTAGAATGATTTCATACCCTGAAAACTTTGTTTTATCAATTAATCATTCCCATCAACTGATTACTGTATTTGGAAGATTCATGCTACAGAAACATTCAATACTTACACAGGAACAAAAGGAATTAAGTTTGTGGTTTTGATATTCCATATTAGAGTATTTAAAGAGAATTACTATGATGATCTAAGGATGATTTGGAATCTGTTGGATA